GGGGGGGGCTCAAAACTCAGGTCCCCCCCCCCCCCCCCCCCCCGCCCGCCCTTTTATCCCCCCTCCCCCAATTTCGGGGTAGACTTCCAGGGGTTAAACCCAATCCCTACGTGGGAGGGCGCTGTGGACCCTAGCCCTACCCCCTTCCCCCCCCCCCCCCCCGTCCCCCCCCCCCGCAACACAAAAAAGCCCCAGAAAACAAAAAAGGACTTAATTTTCTTTTTTTGGTATGTTTGGGGTCCCAAAAGGGGGCGGGAAGATTACTTGACGCTGCTCCCGTTTTCCGGCCCCCCCCCCCCCCCCCCCGTGTCGGAATTTTCTCAAAGGGCGGGGACCCCACCACGGTGACTCTTGTGCCCAGCGATGACGCGGAGGGATGCGATAAGGCGGTGGCGGAGTTGAAGAGGCGCTGCTCTGGGGGCTCCGTGGTGGTGGTTGACTACACCACCCCCTCCGCGGTGAACGCCAACGCGGAGTTCTACGCCAAGCACGGCCTTAACTTCGTCATGGGGACCACTGGCGGCGACAGGTGTGGGTGTGGCGGGGCTGTTGCTGATTGTCGTTCTGCGTTGCTGCTGCTGCTGCTGCTGCTGCTGCTGATGATGATGATGATGATGATGATGATGATTCTGTAGCTGCTGCAGGTGCTGCTGCTGCTGCTGCTGCTGCTGCTGCTGATGATGATGATGATGATGATGATTCTGTAGCTGCTGCAGGTGCTGCTGCTGCTTCTGGTGGCGTGATTGCGTTTGCGTGAAAATGTCTACTTACCGTACCTCCGTCTTCCCTGGAACTTGGTGGCGAGGGAGACGAGTCGTCACTTTTTTTTTATATTCCTCCTCCCATGCTTGGTCTGAGTTTCGTTTTAGTTGGGAGGATGGTCGAGCAGGAACGTTGCAGTATAGTTAAAGGGCTCATTGGCTGCAAGAAATGGTGGCAAAAGGGGGGTTCCGGGGAAGGAAACAAGACATATCATACATAGTTTGCTCAAGATAACACACCCCCTGAACCGATTTTCAAAGCTCGATTTTGTCAACGACGAAAAGGACGTCAAAATCAAGTGATCCGTTTTCGGAAAGCAGTCGATGAGAGGGTTCCAGCGCCGACATTTATTTCGGCACCACCATTCATTTTCCTGTGGAGTAATTGAGCCTCGAAAATCGGTCCAGGGGGGGATGATGTCTCACGCAACCTACCGGTAGAGAGAACCAGCTGAACGCCTTTACCGTGCACGCGGACCTTGGAAAGTCTTGTGCAATGTCATCGTTTGCGAGGTTTCATGCTAATGGTGCAAGGAATGATATGTGTATTTCCGTCTCCTCTCTTGCCGCAGGGATGCTCTCATGTCCGTGACGGAGGGGAGCGGGGTGTACGCCGTCATTGCGCCTAACATGGGAAAGCAGATCGTCGCTCTACAGGCAAGGAGACACATTTTTTTTTTTTTTTCTTTCTTGAAATGTCGACATTTTTTTTTCTTCTTTTCGTTCTTTCTAGAAATGCCGACCATTGTTCTTTTTCTTTCTTGAAATGTCGACATTTTTTTTTTCTTTTCTTTCTTTCTAGAAATGTCGACTAATGCTCTTTTTCTTTCTTGAAAGGTCGGCATTTTTTTTTGCTGTCTAGAAATGTGGACAGGAAGTGTGATGGAACAAGCGTGTTGTGCCCAATAAGCTAGTTGTTGCCTGTGAACACGGAAAGCGTCGGCGTCAGTTTAGACTGGTTGGGATGTTAAGCAGAGACCGGAATAGTTTTACATAGCGTCAAAAACAAGTAAATAGACGACAGTAACAACAATGCTTGTTGGTTCGATCGATCCGTAGCCCCTCTAACCGTTGTCCATACATTGATGACGCTGCTCATTTTACTTGATCACCGCGATCTACGACGCTGATCCACGACTCCGATCCACGACTCCGATCGACGGCCTGCTGCATCACGACCAACCATCTACGATCTACCAACAACGATGCACACCGGGTTGGGGATCTGCCAGAGCGCGATCGACAACATGGCGAGAGAGTTCCCCGGCTCCTTCGGCGACTACAAGCTAGAGGTACGTAGGCCGTGCGAGTGGGGTGTGGCATGTTGAGAGCCAGATCGCACACACAAGGCTTGGGATCACAATGAAGTCGATACGAAATTGCGACCCCTGTTCGCATTATGCCTCATGAATATGGCCGGTCAACACTCTCAAAATTCAAAGTGAGGAGGCAATGATTTGTTGTTGTTGTTGTTCACCGCTGCAATCAGAACACGGAGTCCCGCCAGTCATATTAATGTCTGTGTTGCCCTTTGTACTGAGAAGGCAGTTACTCTTTGCTGGTCGTCGATTGTTGCCATCACCATAAAACGGAGTCCCAACAGTCTTGTTCAAGGCGTTGACACTGTCATTTTGTTGCCGGTTGTTGACCTGCGCGGTGCACTCAGATAACGGAGTCCCACCAGTCTCTGTCCAAACCTTTACATACGCTGTCATTTTTTCTTTTTCTGTTGTTGATCGGTGCGGTGCAACCAGATAACGGAGTCCCACCAGTCCGCCAAGGTAGACACAAGCGGCACGGCGAAGGCACTGGCGGCTGACTTTGCCAAGCTAACGGCAGAAGACTACGACGTCAAATCCATCAACAAGGTGTTTGTTTTTTTTTGGTTTTGTTGACCGGGCTTCGCGAGACCAGGCGCCCTTGGTGGCCATCATTGCCGTTTAATGTGTGCGTGTATTGATAGCGTCGACCGCGGTACAACCTGCTGACCAATGAAATGACGTCAGCTTCAGTGCCGCTGAAAACAGAAAATACTTCTGAAGGCCATCATTGCCGTGTGTGTGTCTTTATTAGTTGTTTCGACCGCGCTACAAGCGCCTGACGACCAATGAAAAGACGTCGGTCTCAGCGCGGTTGAAAGCGCTTCTGAAGGTTACCATGACCCCGTGAGGGGGCGCCACGGAGGAGGCTAGGCTATTCTCCGGATCAAGGACAGGACTGGTAGCAACAGAAGAAAACTGCACTTGTCGTGTGAGCGTGTGTTTTATTCCCTTGATGTTGGGCTTGGGTTTTTGGAGGCAGCCCTTGATGCGTTGCGCTGAATTGGCGGTTGCGAATGCATCCACGGTCAGGTTCGCGACACTGAGGGCCAGCTGGCGTTTGGGGTGCCGGAGGAGCACCTGGCTGGACACGCTTTCCACACGTACAGCCTCAAGAGCAACGATGGAACGTGAGTGCATGGTGGAAGGGACGAACTTAATTATTTTTTTTATGTTGGAACGACGACATGGTGGACGAATATTTTATTTTATTTTGAAAAGGCAAAGCCAGTTTACGTAGGGGAGATAGATATGTATCGCTTGTCCTTCTTTCTGATCGAAAGTCAACCGTCTTATTGCTAGGGTCGAGTTTCGCTTACGACAAAACGTGTGTAAAAGACGGCTGATGTACGTGCATTCCGCTCGAATATTGGGCCAATTCTTGTCGTTTTTTTCCGATCGAAATCAACTTCGACAGGGTCGAGTTTCAGTTCCGACACAACGTGTGCGGCCGGCTGATGTACGCGGAAGGCACGGCGGACGCGGTGGAATTCTTAGCGGGGAAGGCGGGGTCCGGGGCCGACAAGCGCGTGTACAACATGCTCGACGTGCTTCGGGAAGGGGGCATGTAATGCCGTGCCATGTCATGTCATGTGTCGTGTGATGACGTTGGCAAGGAAAAAAACAGCGGATCTATGTAGTTCTTCTTGCGGTACATACGATGCATGGTCATTGTCCTGTCTTGTGATGACATTGGCGAGGCAAAACATCAGGGCTAGTTCTTTTCTTAGATACCATGCATGGTCACGTCCTGTCGTGTGATGACGTTGGCAATGCAAGACGAGACAATAGTTATTACGGAAGATACCCGGCCCTTGTGGACGACTTCCTACCTTCTTCCCTATTTGGGTTGGGTGGGTGGGGGGGGGGGGTATGTAGTATTGATCCTGCGGGGCCTTGTAACTGACGCCACCAGGAAAAGGTACCGCGTCCCCCTTTTCCCAACGAACTCGAGCATGTCGGTCGCTCTTCGCCTTCATGACAACAAGCGGGATGCCGGGGGCTCCGCGGTCGGCACTTGGGGTATAGGGGGGTACTCTTGCGTGACCCCAATCTCGGTGCCCCGTTCCTTGAATTGTTCTTTTTGTGACCCTTTGTTCCCTCCACCCCCCTCCTACTTTTTGATCGGCGTTGTAAGTTTGTTTAGCGAATATCGATAGAGGTGCCGTCGTGTTTTGGGGGTGGCTGTTCTTTCCTTGGCTGCTTGTTGAGGTGATGGGACGCGTTTGTTTCCCCATCCATGGCGTGAACTTTTTGACCGCTCCTTCCTGTAGAAAGCGGGGAGGAGCTACAGGCGTGGTGGGTTTTGTCCGTAGCTTGCAGGCTGTTCGTCGAGGAGACTTTGATCATACACACACACGCCCTTCGGGACGACGAGCCGCGCATATGCGTATGTACCCCTAAGAGCACCCGCGAGATCTGTTGTGAGCAGCATGTAGAGAATGGTGCCGCCTGCAGAGATTGCAATTTCTGCCGGGGTCTTGCCGTTGGTTCTCTCTTGCGAACCTGGCATGTATCGCGCCGTTTCCTCCTTGGCGCAACTCGGGAGACTGGGACGACGGCCTCTTGTCGTCATCATGGAGCACGCTTTTTATGCCCCTGTGGTTGGTGTCGAAAGTGGTATGGTTGGCGGTCAACGACACCTAACCTTTTCGTGATTTTTGGTTGTCTTCGAAGCGAAGGAAAATTGTTAGAACCTGGGGGTTTCGGGGTTGATGGCATGATGCGCGCTTAGAAACGATCTCTACGGGTGCTGTCGACGGTCAATGCTGTGCGGGAGGGCGGCGTAGACTAGATCCACGCGACTATCCGCTGCATTTGCGTTCCTCCGCGCTGACTGCTTTTGACATCCGCAAGAGGTTTGTCTCCAGAAATAGAGTTAGGCTAGCTTTTCGCGAGGATGGCACTTTTGAATTCAGGGAGGGTTAAAAGTGAGCACTTTTAAGTGGGGGGAGGCAGGAAAGGACAAGACGCGTTTTGTTCGAAAAGAAGCAAGGAATAGTCTATTAATTATTTAGTCATCATGATGACACCAAAAGACGAGCAAGATATATCTAAAGTGGGGCCGGGGACACAACAATTCTCCGCAGCAACGGCTTTACAGGTTGTGGTATGCAGAGGAGAATCTTGTTGACGCCTCTGGAGGATCAACCCCTCTGGAACTAGTAATGATTGTTTGGGTCTTTTAGATGCACCTGCTACACCGCCGCCATGCATAGACCTTTGCGAAGAGAAATTACTTTTTCTGTGCCGATGAGTGGGTTGGGGGGGGGGGGGGGACCTGTTGTATGTGCCACTTCTTTTTTTTATTAGGGATTCGGTCTTTTTCTCGCCCTCTGGGTGTACTTTACCGTGGGGACTCCATGGCTGCTACCATTCGACGGACACAGCATGGGGCTTTGTCAACTCATTCAAAGGGTAAATCGACGGGGGGAATTTTTGGCATGGAGGTGAATCGTTTGCCCTCGTATATCCTCTTGTTGCTGTTGGTACGGGATGCAAGTGTTTTAGCAGGTACGTTATGTATCAGCAATGATTGGTGGCGTACACCAGCTACGGACTTTATTTCGCTTTCGAGCACTTCCTCTTGGAAGTTAAACATATCATCAAAGAATGACAAACCCGTTCGATGTATAGCCGCAGTCAAAGGGAAAAAAACGGCTGGATACCGCGCTTAGTTTGAGTCAACTGTAATTACATTTCACGCATTGCCCACTAATAGTCAAGGCGGGGATTCAATTGCAAGCAAGGATATTCTATCTCAGGGCCCCGCATGTGGGGAGGCCAAGAGAAAATACCCCAGGACGCTTGCTTTGATAACCGCAGTGTTGCCCGCCCAAGTGTCAACAAATTTTTTGCAATGTTGGCCCCCACGACCTCGAACTACAGTAGACCGCCGAACCCGACGAATCGCGACCTGGAAACCCCGTACGGTAACAACCGTGTACCGGCTGTCTAGCGGCGGGTCCGAATGGTTCGGAGGCGTGCACGACGGTTTGTTTTTCGTCACGTTGTGCTTGACCGGCTGATCTACCCTGCTGTTTTATATCCGACTACAAGACAAACATGTATGTACGTACGTGTGTTCACGCCAGGGTTGGGTCATGTGTAGCTCTTTCTGTGGCGAGCACGGGTGCTTGGTTCCCTCCCTCTCATTCTCCAGGAAGAAGGGTCGGGTGAGTTGGCCTTTATTGTCACCCGTTTTTGTTCAAGTTGGCTGACATTGGCATGCCATCTATTCTCTATTCTCCCCCCCATTGTTGAATGAAGAGGAGGTACACACACACACTCCTCGAGCCGTTTCCAGGCACACATGTAAAGGGGGTATAGATAGGTGGTGGAAACACCTGTCCATGAGGGAGCTCCCGCTCCGGTTGCGTGGCTCAGAGCAGCTCTAACCTGAGCCGAATGCCCGCAGGCCGGTCATACAGAGCGGAGTTTTCGAGCTCCCACTCTCTAGTGTCAGGCTGAACGGTATCTATCGCTGCGCGCCAAGGGGCCCCCTGTCCCCCTTCGGCAGCACCGTGTTGTCCATCCCGGCATTGGTTTGGCGTTCACCGCAAACACACTTTATTTTCGTCATTTCTTCATAATACAAATATTGGTCAACACTTCTTCCGAAAAAACAAGACATAGACTATAGACTACATCTCGCACAGACATATACTGTGGTTTGCTTGATGTTGCCCTCGACGTCTTGCATCGAGGGGGGAGGGGGGGGGGAGGCGTCACCTCGCGATGTGCGATGTGACCAACTGCAGGCTCTTTCGATTCCTGTGACCGAAACAAACAGAAAGGGAGGAATGCAAACAAGAGGGAAGGTAAAGCCCGCTGCTCTCACTCGGCAGCCAAGCACAAACAATACAAGAACAAACAAATACAAATAACAGCAGTATGCACTATGGCTGCTGCAGGAATCGACAACGTAAAACGACCATTACTACCGCTTCATACAAACTTATACAATAGTGTCTCACGCATCGCTTGCCCAAGGCGATGCAGCAGGAGGGCTCCGCGAAAGACCACGAGCGTAAACAACGCGCCAAATACGCCCAAAACAAAACGCTACACAGTAGTACTGTACGTCCGTCCGTCCGTCCGTCCGTGCTTTGATATCCCATTTTCACACGCTCCTACCACCGAATACTGTACATGTATGTATGTACAAGCTACGAGGTAAGACCCCCACCGGATTGGTGCTCAAATTTCACGCCGTGCTTTCTCTGCTGAAACTCGCAACACACAGGGGAAAAAACGCGGTCGGTCTGCATGGAGGCTTTCTTTGACTCCATCATCATCCGTTGTCAGATTTTCCCGCCGGAACAACTCCTTTCTGGAGGAAAATAAACGGCTTCTTCCACGCTGAAAGAAGAACCGTACCCGCCTCCTCCGCGGTCGCGGCCGTCGACTTGAGGCTGGCGGTGGTGCTGCAGCTCCGGCGGCAGCACTTCTGGTCGTTGTTGTTGTTGTTCTTGGCGTTGGCCCGTGAAGATTTCGCCTGAAGACAGACAGACAGACGTGGTGACGAGTTGACGGCGGTCGAACGCAAGGGGATCAATTGTTGGTGGTTTTATCGACCCGATGCAGTCAGGTAGCTCCTCTCTCCGAATGATAATGTACATCGCTGTTTGCTTCTACATTCGATAATATTTTCGCACGGGTCGAAAGACATATGCTACCTACTGTAGTAGCTCTTTATCTTAGAACCCAACCTGGGTTCATGCTAATGGGATTATCGTCGTGAAATTACAGCAGTGCCTCGGGACGGGACGGTATTTTTCGTGGGATGCCATGGAGTGAGATGTCGAGGAGATGCAAACTACCACGAAGAAAGACGAAACGTCCTAGCTAGTAACGACGAACGAACGTGGTAGGGGGCTATCTAGGCGTACGAGAGCTCAACAATATGAGGGAGTGCACAAACCGTTGGCGGTTTTCGCATATTATTTTGGCGTTCCTGAACAAGCTCCACGCGGTCTAGGTAATATCTGACCCCGAGAGGGGGGGGGAGTGGGCTACCCACCGCTTGAGGTTCACCTGTGAGTGTACCGTTGTTGTGGTTGGGCTTGTGACAAAGTTGCAGAGAAGGTCTTCGTTGTAGACATATTTTTCACGTTCAAAGCCATGTGCTCCGAACCACCCTCACGGAGCGTGATATCCTCCCAAAAACTTCGATTCTAACGTCGACCACGACGGGGCGTCGACACACTGTGCGTACATGTGCGGAATAGTGAACCAGCGCAGGCCTCTGCCCCTGGTGTTGAAGCAGTGAGGCCGAGCACCTGTTCTTATGGTCAAGTTCTTACACTGTAATCTTACCAGGTCAATGGAGTGTACTGCACTACAGTATGTAGGAGAGAATCACGTTGGCGTCGAATGTTATGGCGTCGAATGTTATGGCAACAAAATCATCATCATCATCATCAACAACAACAACAAGTCTTGTCAAGATTCTCCGCATTACGGACCTTTCCGAAAGAACCCTACACGGTATGTATGTCACGCCAGCCTCTTAACGCACCTCCAACTCCGGACGTCTGCACCGGAGCACCCATCCTGATGACCGCCGAACTTGATTCCCCACCCCCGCCGGGGACGCTTCTCCTGGCCTTGAGCTCCTCGAACGTCTCGAAGGTATAACACTCCCGTTCTCCGCCAAGATCGCGTTTTTCGGCACCGAAATCATGGTTTTCCCGGCTGTCGTCGCCCCCCCACCCGAAGCCGTCGGTGCTTCTCCTCCCGTCACTATCGAAGAGGGGCCTCCACCCACCACGTCCATTTGGCCCTACCCTATCAGCGACGCGTCGCGAGGCGTTAGATCATTCTCGTGGGGGTCGTGCATCACCGTGCCGAAGGCTCCGGTCAGGCTGCGTGCATCGTGGACGCCCCTTTCTTCCATGCTGGCGATGACGATGCCTTCTTCCCGGAAGTTCTCGAACCAACCTCTTTAGCAACCGTAGTGGCCGCTCATTGGCGCGGCTACGAAGGACGGTCTCCCATGTAGCATCCGTACGCCGTCGTTGCCACAAGTGGTGGTCTCGAGGTCGTACGGCGACGTCCGGTGAGAGTTGGTCTTGCGGATGATATCTTCCGCCTCCATCTCACGCAACGAGTTTAAGAGAGGTGGTGACGGCGGTGTCGGCGCCCCGACGGGCTCGTTTACTATCGACCGTGCCCACCGGCGCACGGCAGGTGGCGAACGCTGCTGCTCGTGGTATTGCCGCCGCTGCGGCTGCTGCAGCGTCGGCGACGGCGGTGGCGGTTCCGGGGTAGGATGCTCAAACCTGAGCCTGTATCTTTTCACGCTTCGGTCAGGCTCCTCCTGAACCGCCAACGACGGGAAAAAGGAAGCTCCTTCCGCTTCCCGCCCCCTCTGATAACAAGATCCGCTGCGGGGATGTCATCTGACGTGAATTCGTTGTTGCCGCCATCATGCGTAACAACCGCCGAAGTTTCGGTGCTGTTGCGGTCCGTATACCTTGCAACAGACCGCAGTTCCCCCGCGTTTGCGTTGTTCCCGCAAGACTCCGGGTTCTTGTTGCCGCTACCCTTTCGTCAAATGTAGTGGGAACCTTGTTGCCAGTTGCTTGGGCACCGTTCTCGCTCACGGCGATGTTCACCATGACGTCTGTAGCATGCAGGGAGCAGAACGTCTTCCTGTTGCAGCCTTTGACACCGAATGAAGGCGTCCGAGAGCAGCCAGGGCGAGCACATTTCTTCCGCTCTTTGCTGAAGATGCTGATAGATTCGGAGGGGGCGCGCTTGGCGCAGAACTCGGCCGCCATGCTGATGGGCGAGCCACGCGAGGGCCGCGTGAAGCAGTTCGCGTGCGCGCACGTCTTGTGCCGAAGATTGACCATACCCGAACTCGCGTGGCGCGAACAGATTTCGGCGGTCCGGCCCACGAAGCCGTAGCTGGCGGCTTTGGAACAACCGTCGTTGTTGTCGGGGCCCTCTGCTTCTCTTCGACACCGCTTCCTTCGGACGTCCTGCATGCCGGCCATCCCATGTTTGCGGCAGAAGTTCGGGGGTTGAAGGTAGCCCAACGATGCCCTCATTGTGCAGCCTTCATGGATACACCTCCTTGGCATTGTTGCGAAATGGTTGCGGAACTGTCTTCGGCGAGGAAGTGACGCGGTTCTTCCCTTGGAGCTCCCTCGTTGTCTTCGGGCGAAGGAGTTCTTCTGTGTTTTGGTCGGGATCTTTGTGATGCAGATGGTATATATAGAGTGATGATGTCCACCTTCATAAAGGTATGTATACATGCATGGTAAGGAAATTATTGACGGCTACGCAGAATGGCCTGTGGTAGAATGAAACAGATGAATCTTTGTATATCTTGCTTGGCATGTACGTCTCACCGATTGTCAAACTGCCGCTTAGCCTGTAACAGTGATGCGGTTCGCCTTGCTTGAATGACGTGATTTTGTCTACACGTCTACCAACACGCGAGATCTGATCACCCGCCCCTACATGTGTTGTAGCTGTGTGTCATACGTCTCCAGCTTGTGCTTCGAGAAAAAAAATGGCCTGTGTATACGTTTGTCGACCGACTAGTTTCTAGTTGCAGACGACGATATTCTGTGAATCATGAGATAGCATTACTTGTTGTTCGAAGGTTTCTATGTTGCACCTTCGGGGCCGCCCAACGCCCCTCCGGTCGGGGTATCAGGTATACGCACTCTCTCTCTGAACTCTCTCTCTCATTCTCAACTCTGCTCGATAGCACTTCCGCTGCGCAGCTCTCTTCGGCTTGTTGTCAGTTGGGTTATGGTTGGTTTCACAAATGTTATCTAACTGCAGCGAGCCGCAAGAACGGTTTCGTTCCGTTCGTTGCAGCAGCCAGCAGCGCAACCGTCAGTGCAGAGTAAATTAAGGAATAATAAAAACACACACAGAAAGACTACCCATTCGAGATATACCCACAGTCGAACGGGATGTGGTGGAGTCTTTTCAGTTAGTGGAGGGAAACCGGCTGGGACTGGACTTAGTTGGAGTGCATCCCCAGCGGCCGCGTGTCTTGTCCGCCGTTACACTGGGTGGCACGCAGCAAGCATGGAACTCCCGTGGGGGGTTCGCTGGTGGGCTGCTGAGGGGTATGCATATTTTTCGGCCCAAATCTCGCCGCGTCTCGCGCCGGCTGGACAGGTTGATTCAGCACTTCACCGAGAGAGAGAGCAACGTGTAGCAGATGATGGCGAAAGCAGGAGTTTCCATGCTGACCTTTATCGCGGCTGCCGTCGGGCCTGCGATGGTGGCCGGCTTCGCGCTGTCGCCGAACGCGATGAGGACCGGGGCCCGGCCTAGCTCTAGCCTGAGGATGGCTGCTGCGGAGGGCAAGCAGCGGGTGCTCGTCATCGGGGGCACCAGGTTCAGCGGGTTGTACCTCACCAAGGAGCTCCACTCCCGGGGGCATGAGGTGTGTGCACCGTGAACCTGTGCGAGTGTACGAGCACGTGGAGGTGTTGGGCTCGGGGGGGTTGGTACACGATAGATATGTCGTACTACACGGCAGGAAAAAGAGGCACACATGACGTTGTGTGCGTACGTACCTTGCGCATGTTTTCGTGCCGAGATCTGGTGTGTCCTTTAGTCCAGCTCTTTGTCCTTTGTTGCTGCTCCCACGGAGGAGGACTACTGTGTGATGTCAAAATTTCAAGTTCATGGTCGACGCAGAGACAAACAAGAGAGCAACAGACCCTCGTATCTCGTGTCTCATGTTGTCAGAAGGCGGAAAGCGGGGTGATTTGAACAGACGAAGCGGGGTGTTTGGAAGAGGCACAAAGTGTTAGAACCCTTATCTTCCTTCTTCAGCAGTGCAATCTTTCAGTCTTTCAATCTTTCGTGTCGTGTGTGACCCTGGATGGTTGTAGTTGTACGAAAAAATACACTGAAAAGTGTAGTACTCTACCATACACTGAGAAGTGTAGTACACGTCTCACCCGAAAAATGGGGGGACTGGCTGTCGCACACAATGAATAGGACAAAAACAGCAACAACCACAACAAGTCGTGATTGGCGATGTCCACTACGGTTGCAGACGGCTTTACAACCTCACCTCAAAATCCTGTTCGACTTTACGCCAGAGGCGAAAGAACATGAACATATGCGTACATGTAGATGTCAACGGATCACCAAAGCAACCGGTCACACACTACGGCAGCAAAGGCAATGACCACATTTCGGGGCAGGAACTACAGCATGTAGGAACATGTATTCTACATAGCGTCCGTAATTGTGTCTCCGTATGCATACATATGTCCACGCCATATATCGTGGCCATCACTGTGGTCGCACAGCGAGAACCTTGTTGTTGTTGCTGTGCCGTTGCTGATGCCGCCGGTCCTGCTGCTGCTGGTTGCTGCAGGTAGTGCGGTATTGCTGTACGACCGCATGCACCGCATTTGCGTCTCCGTTGCAAGGGATGGGCGGCCATGCAATATATATGTCGTGGCCATCACTGCTGTCGACCGAGCGAGAACGTTGTTGGTGCTATCGTTGCTCATCTGCTGCTTGCTGCAGGTAGTGCTGTACAACCGCGGCCAGACCGCCAACAAGCAGCTGCCGTGCGAGTCCGATGCCGAGTACGCCAAGCGCGTGGAGGACGTCAAGACGATCGTCGGCGACCGGAAGGACCCGGAGGTGAGCCACAAGCTTGAAGGCCTTACCGCAGGTGACGCAAGATACCGCACCCCCTGGACCGATTTTCAAAGCTCCATTTCTTCACAGCACCAAGGAGTGACAATGCTGAAAATATTTCTCCACAGCACATATGAGTGACAATTCTGAAAATGTCGGCGTCTTGTGTGTTTCTTGATCAAGCGTCGTCCGCGCGTGTGCGTGTCTACTTCACCTCGTGTGTGTGGTGTTTTTGTCATTAGCAACGACCGCGCTAACCGGCTGACCAATGGCAAGTCAGCGTCAGTGCTGTTGAAAACACAAAATCGTGCGTGTGTGTGTGTGTGTCTTTAGTACATGCATTAGCATCGACCGCGCTAAGCTGACCACTGAAAATACTTCAGTCTCAGTGCGGTTCAAAACACAAAACACTTCTAAATGCCATGAACTGGGACCCCGTGGGGGGGCGGCATGGGGGAGGTTAAGCTATTCTCCGGATCAAAGACAGAAACGGTAGGAACAGAAGAAAACTGCACACGTGTGTGTATGTGTGCACCGACGAAACAGGTATGCCAGTCAACTCTCGGAGGGGAAAAGTTCGACGCCGTGTTCGACATGAACGCCCGCGAGGTGTCGGACACCAAGGCCGTCGCCGACGTCTTCAAGGGCAAGGTGGACCACTACGTCTTCATGAGCTCCGCCGGGGTGTACCTAAAGTCGGAGCTGATGCCCCACAGGGAGGTGAGGGGTCTCGGTGTTGTCGGTGGTGGGAGTTTTTGTGTTGTAGTTGTTGCTGTGGTGGTTGTTGTTGTTGCTGTTCCTGTTGCTGTTGCTGTTGTTGTTGTTTTGGGATCTTTCCGCGAAGGGTCGTGGCGACATACGTTCTCATCTTGTTTTGTTTCCCAAAAAAATGTGTACGTGTGTCCGTAGGCCATCCGTTTTGGACGAGCTTGATCAGAACTTGTATATCCTGCCATGCAACAACCCCCCCCCCCCCCCCGGCCTACTCTCTACCGGAAAGCAACAGCATCCACGGCACCAGGAGGCATACGTAAAACGGCACCCACTAGGAACTCAACAAGAGAGTATATATTTTTTTCCTTCGGTGCAGGCAGTATCTCTCTGTGCGTGACCCTATTGCAGTGTCGCCTCTGCATGCCGTTGCTTGCCCCGTTTTCGCGGTCGAAGCAAAATCATCGACGATATCGGACGACAAATCACACAAGCACAAACACACACGGCTTCATGCGCACCAATCGCGGTTGGAACTAGTTCATCAACGATGTCGTACGACATATCACACGAGCAACAGTACACAAACACGAATGCCTGTAGTACGGGCGCCAATCGCGGTCGGACCTATCCATCGGCTAGATCGGACGGCAAGTAACACACGCACAAACAGACACGAAAAATTCCTTCGCGCCAAACCGCCCACCTATCGCAGGAAGATGCGACGGATCCCAAGAGCCGGCACAAGGGAAAGTTCGAGAGCGAGGCCTACCTCGAGGAGATCGGGATGCCCTACACCTCCATCCGCCCTACCTACATCTACGGACCCCTCAACTACAACCCGCTGGAGCAGTACTTCTTCGAGCGCCTGGACCAGGACCGCACCGTCATCGTGCCCGGTGAGCGGGCGAGAACCGTTCTTCGGAACGGTCTTACAGTAGCGAGGGGGCGGGATGTCGAGGACCGTTCCCTACCGAGCGTGTGGAGGCGGGTGGTTGCAGGTGGTTGTAGGACAGAGCCTGTTTGCTCTTCAGGACTTTCTCGTTGGCTGGGTGGGTGGGTATCATGGTCCATGAGTTTCTTTTCTTGTTGGTACGTAGACCCCGTTTTGTCGTCGGAACTTTTCTGGTTGGACGGAGTTGCAGCTCCTCGCGGTAGGTGTCCCGTGCATATAAAGCCTTGCTCACACACCACGGGAGAGCAGTGCAGCGTTTCGGAAGTTTTTATTTCTGTTTGGCACCGTTCTGCGGGATCGGACTTCGATGCGAGGTCTGTTTCAGCAGCGGGCATGTATGCAATCAGAGCGCGCCGTTGGCTAGCCACATGGCGACACGGCGGTAGCGGGCAGACAGACGCAAAGCGCCATGCCCCCACCTCCAGCTTTTGCTCGGGACCGGACGCCCCAGGACGCGGCTCCTCGCGCTGCCCTCGGGGAGTAGTACCTTCCTGTGGGGTATTTTTGTGCTCTGTAAACGGCTCGCAAACGTACTGCAGGGATTGTAGGTGCGCACCTCTTTGGGCTTGTGTACCATTTTTCTTGCGAAGAGTGCGTGTTCTTTAGACCTTCTGATGACTCTAGCATTTTTGTGACCACGGACCGAGTCTTCGCTAGATTTTGGGATTACAGTAGCAGCTGACACGAGTTTAATGTCAAGACACCACCAACGTCAACAATGGTTTCGGAGGGGGGGGGGGGGGGGGGGTTGTTAGCGTCAGGTTACTGTGGGCGTCTGTGAAACGATCACCGTCTGCTGCGCGCTTTGCCTTTTGTTGTTGTTGTTGTTGTCAGGGCACGGGCAGCACTTGACCGGGCTCGGACACGTCAAGGACCTCGCAAGGGCCATGGCCAACGTTCTCGGAAAGGAGTCCGCTAAGGGTCAGGTCTACAACGTCCAGGTTGGTGTGGCCGTCGTGTGTGGTTGGCGCCGATGGCGTTGCTGTAGGCAAGGTCAACTTGCCGGGGGGGCTACTGTACGAAGTCGTGCTGCCGTGTTAACCGTAGGTGACATAACGCAAGATACCACACCTCCTGGACCGATTTTCGAAGCTCGATTACTACCCTACAGCAAAAAAAGCGTGGCGGTGCCGATAACGGCTGCGTTGGAAGAACCATCTCGTCGAGATCATTCCGAAAACGAATCAATTGAGTTTGGTATCCTCTTCTTCGTGGAGTAGTCGAGCTTTGAAGAATGGTCCAGGGGGTGGTATCTTGCGTCACATACGTTACGTGACTGCTACTGTATACTGTATATACGCCTGCTGTTGTGGCGGCTGGTGGGGTCGAATCCCGGAGTTTGTTGTGTGTACCGTTGTCGTGTTCCTGGCGGCGTTTGTGCTCGACCAAGTTACCGCAAGCTGTCCTCTCGCGTGCACCGCGAAGAAAAGACGTATTTTAACGGGCACGTCCATCGATCCCAGCGCACTAGTACTAGAAGAACTTCCAAAGGTGCAGCTCGTCGCCCCGCCATCTGCAATTGGACAACCAGGAGCCCCACCCACCCTTTCCTCCCGCCCCATGCCTGACGTGTGCCCTGTCCGACGTTGCACGTTCCATTCCGTGCACTCGGTTCGTTTTGTTTTGCGGTGCAGGACAACCGTGCGATTTCATTCGACGGCATGGTGAGGGCGTGCGCCGAAGCCATGGGCAAGGACCCCGCCGGTAAGAGTTACCGTACGCTTTCGTCATACCCGGTGTAGTGGGCAGGACCCCGACTGACGTGGCTCGAGAGGTCACGTGTTATATTGACATGGGCAGTGCTGTTGTGTGTTGGGGGGTTACAACACTTGCCTCTCTTGACTGAAATTCGTGATTTGACTGAAATTTGTCATATGGATTTGTTGTGTCCCCTGCGTATCCACTACGGTAGAGGTCCCTGCTTAGTGCCGGTATGTGCCCTGAAAAAATCATCGCCACTATACCGGACCGGCACTATTCAAAGTGTTGAGAATGACTTGGAAATTCAGTGTGTGCAGCCGAAAACACCGAAACTTTTTAACCGGCACTAAACAGGGACCTCTACTGCTGTAGTGTACGCCGTGGAAAACAAGCAAGAGTTGAGTTTTTTGCGGCTCCCTCTTTCGGAGATGTGTTTTCCCTCATCCCAAAGGTTTTCCTGGTATATGCACCCGCACCCACACATCTCTCACGTATTTGGACACCGCCGCAGCTAACACCATGCTGCGGTGACGAGTGCCGAAAGGTTCGCGCGACCTATCACCTATCAGGAGAGGCGTTGGGGCTGGCGGCCTGCCAACAGCAGTAGTGGGGGGGTGGAGGGGATGCTCATGTTTTGTTTGCCTTAACGGTTAAGACAACGTTGTCCCCACGGGACCCATCACCGATGACCAATCGTTCCTTCCTACTTTTCCGGGGTGGGGGGGGGACATCGAATGCAGCACAGCAGAGGAGCGCAAGTACGAAGTTTAGGACCTGAAGATCGGGGAGTTTTCCGTCTCAAACGCATACTATCATCCCATTTTCTTGGGGTTTAGAGACGTCGGACACGCAGGCCGTGTTGCGTAGCGTTCATTCGACGATGCCTGTTCCCTGGGTATGTATCCTTTGGGCTCTCGAGGGAATGGATGAACCTGTCGGCGCCCCGCTCTACGAGGCTTGGCCTTTTCAGTTTTGTTGCCGTGCCGGATTGATGTCCTACAGGGTGCATTTTCGGGAAGAAACGCATGAGAATCTGACTTGAAACCCCGAGCCACTCTATTCGAGCGCGGCCTATAGCCAGGTCGACAGTGGTGGCCTGTGCCTGTCGCACGTAGCCTTTCTGGCTCCTCTCCGGAGATAAGCGCCTGCGCCTGTGTGTTCGATTTTCCCTAGCGTCGATGGCGCTGCCTAGCCGGCTGCCCGTGAATATGCGCCAGTCTAATGCATGGCGGGGACGAAAAACTCGACCACATGTTAATATTTGTGTTTTGTATTTTTGTGTGTGCGGTCGGTTCGTGCATGCACACCGTAACAAAACAGCGGTCAAGATCAAGCACTTCGAGCCGACGAACTTCGACTTCGGCAAGAAGAAGGCCTTCCCCATGCGACCGGGCCACTTCTTCACCAGCTGCGAGAAGGCCATGACGGACCTGGACTGGGCGCCGGAGTTCAACACCGTGGACGGACTCCGGGATTCCTACGAGAACGACTTCGTGCACAAGAAGGTGGGTTGGTGGTTTGATGCCTCGGGGGAAAAATCACTGATAATATTTCGATGGATACGTAGGCTTAAAAGAGTCTAAGAATCCAGCCGGTTTTCTTTCCACTCGATGCGAAGACTTGAAAACGTCCATCCCCTTCGATTGATGTGGTACTATCTCGGACGGGAAATAGTCTTTGTTTGATTGTAGTTCTTCATGGTTGTCGTGAACTCTGTTGATCTCTGGTGCATGTATGTAGTCATCGCCAACAGATCTGGCCGGTGATCAGCACAAGCCAAGGAGTAGGGACACGCTTGCCGCAAGGAATCCGAGCAAGTAAGAAAACTGTGTGCTTGTAATGTGCGCGTGCGCTCCTGCATGTGCCTCTTTCTCTCGTTTGGTAGCCATACACACTGATCGATTTACGTCTCAATCTCGGTGCAACGACGGTTTCTTGCTCTGCAAGATGCCTTACATGTGTGGTCATTTACACAGCATGCTCAGTTCTAGGTCCTGAACCTGGCTGTTCATGCACGGCGTAACGTACCCCATCTGGTTGGATTCAATTTTTTTTTTAAGGCGAGTGACGCCGGTTCCGACTTTCTAAGAATCCGAACGAGCCTCCAATGCATCGTTCTCAGACCGACGCCACTATTGAATCGCGCTTCGTTTCTCATCGTTGCCGCCCTCCAATACCCCCACCCCCTCCACCCTGAACGTCGAAAATTACGCCCCCCAACGCGGCGTCTTCGTGTGCGGCCCCCCTCACTGATCGCACCCCAAACACTTCCGGCCGCGCATTCTGCGTCATTGCTATTATTTTCTTATTTTTGTATTATTAGGCCGCCGGTGGTCTGAACAACGACTTCGAGTGCGACGACAAGGTCCTGACCGACCAAACCATCGGCAACCTCCTCACCAGATGATTTGATTGATAGGTTGGCCTGGTTTGATCATTTTGTTCTCGTGTTATTTTGTTTGTCGCCGCTCGATAATCATGCGTGCACACCTACAGCAAGGTGTAGTCGATCGATCGACGCAAAGAAGAGGCGTTAATCGTTTCGCCCTAGAAGTTTTTTCTTTTCGGTGTCGACATGTTTCAGCAGCATGCGAAGGGAGTGGCTACGGTATAACATCGAGAAGTCGCAACGTCGTTGTCGTGCATACGTTAGACAATTTTGATGGATGCACCCATAGCCAAAAGTGGATGGATCCATGTCGCTGGGTTGGCCGGTTCTGCCGGTGTGATAGCCAATACAGGCCAACGAACACTTTCGGTTTATTCTGGGGACGATCTGTCTTGTCGGGTCTGCATGGTGATGATTTTCGATGGATGTAGGGTGGTTCCTGCTGGGCTCACACCAATTTTGGCTGGTATATCCTTCGTTTTTTGCTTGGTCGAAAAACCGGTTTGTCGGCACGCGTACGTGTGTACGTTGGGCCCGGTCAGTTGGATGGATGGTACGGGTGCCCTGCCCCATGTCCCCTCCTCCCGTTGTAACTCCGCTCGCCATATCTACCTCTCGCATTTGATTTGCACCGCAGTGAGAGGTTGGTTGGGACGTGAACCAAAGGGATCGTCAAAATAGGATTTACTGTTTCGGCTGGCTTGAGTCCCCTAGAGGGGCGGCTGGCTTCAGAACGGGGTGGAGAACTGTAAACCTTAGCTCCGCTCCATAGGGGATGATCGAAACCCGCGGTGCGGCAATTGTCCGACGCTTGTACGAAGCAGGGTACGCCTGTGCTGTGCCCGTTACATTTTCTTGTGTCTGGAAAGTTTTGAAGGCGACAGAAAAGAAGCTTGTTCCAAAGCTGTAAGCTAGATGCACGACGAATGCAACGAAGTAGGCACAGGATCCCGAACGGAGGGGGATGCAGGTTTACGTTTCCATCCGGCTCGGCGATCACTCCGCGGCGCTTCCCGCATTGAAGACGATGAGAGGATGGCATGCAGCGTGGTCATGATGCGAAGCCGGTGGTCGACCAACAAGCAACATCGACCTTTGACACTTGCGGTCGAACGGCTGGGGTTCGGGAAACCCTGCCTGTGGGCGAACAACTCAATTTTTTGCCTCCTAGGCTAAACATCTAGATACGCACATATGCACGTGACCGAGAACTGGTGAGAGAACATGTGCCCGCGGTAACAGAACTCTGCCTTCTTGTGCTCCTACCCGCTACGACGCTGCGAACGCAAGCGTGGCTTTTAGAGTCAGAGCCGTTGCATGCTGACATTGACGATAACACCCTTGCTGGGCCCACCGAAGAGCGGCTGCTTGGCGTAACCTGGTGGTCACGGCTCAGCGACTCGGCGATCGCCGTTGTTGTAGGGGCACCCCACGTAGCAGGCATAACGGTTTTGGAGTGCCCCTCAGTATGCTATTCGCGTACCCCCTTTGCTCGCCGCTCGCCGCTCCCGGTTCCCACCATCTGCTCGCACAAGCATAGCTGTAAAAACAAACTGAGAGGCTCCCTTTGGCGCCAAGCACAGCAGGACACAAGTGTCGGGAGGTACGGGCTCGTCTTCGCTTGGTGTGGGGAACAAACGTGAGGTAATCAACGCCTAGAACTGTTTGTCTCGAGAAGCAAGACGGAGGTATTCACACAGCAAAGCAGGAGAGGCTTAACAGTACGAGATGGACGACGGCCCTAAGCGATGGGTACCTGACGAGGAAGCGAGTCGCTGCTTCCTTTGCTCGTGCAGCTTCGACGTAACCACAAGGAGGCATCATTGCCGGTAAGCAGCCAGCCCCCCTTGTCCTCTTGCAGTGTGGTACTCTGGACACAACAAAACCAGTGATCCGTGACGTGGGGGGAAAATATTCATCCGCACACCGCAGCAGCAAGCTGCTAAGTCACCCGCGCCAACACGCGTCTTTGTGTCGCCCCGTTCCTTTCGGAGCTATTGTACGTATATGTTGGCCTTTCTTTCTCTCTTGAGTGCTTCGGTTGAGTCGCCTCTCCCGCCATTGTTTTGACAGAAAGGCTCGAGGTAAGACCATTTCAAGAGCTAGCTTGCACGGGCAATTACGAGTAGACCGGGTGGCACAGCAGTAGGTTGACGCTGTGAAGCTGTCGGTGCCGCCCCCCTCCTGTTGGACGAATCGCACATAATCACTTGTGCGGCAAGCGCGTGATGGCCTTTTGCTGCTGACTCGGGCTACACGCGCTACCACGTATGGCTGGACAGCAGCACTTTAGAAGTACGAAAAAATCTATGCTGTCGAAGTACGTATGGTAAAAGTACTTTATTTTGCTCCTCTCAAGACGTGGGCGGCAACTTCCCGGGCCGTTCCACCGTCCCAAGCGGCACGATCGCGGATTTCGCTGATTCCGCCGTGCGCGAGGCATCGCTGCATCGCTACGTATCCCATCAATTCGCAACACTCGAGATGACCGCGCTGTAGGTCGACGTTGGTGCCAGTGTGTGTCCCAACCCCCAAAGAGGAGTTAACCTCCGCTCTTGCTGTCGCGCTGTCTCGCCTCCTCGGTTTGCGTTTTTTTCTTTTTTGGGGTGTCGCCACGGCACCCCCCCCCCCCCCAGATGCTGCGGACGCGTAGCCTGTGCCGCATGCACGCCGAACAAGGCTCTGGTGCCACTCAACGATGTGAGTTTCGCGACATTTTGTGGTTTATTCGCCGCGCCCGGGATGGGGCAGAGTAAGAGGCAGGGAGTTCATTCGAGAGGCACAGCTGTACTGTATCACGTAACCTCTGGGCTGACGGGGAAACGTATTGCATCGCACAAGAGACCCAGGTAAGGTACATGCTTGTACCAGTAGGTCACTACGCAGGGTGGCTATGTAGGCGATCCCGGTTTTTGCATTCGGTTGGTTGGACGTTTTGGCGGTCCGTGGAAAGTGTATGCAGGGCCCGTCGAGTTGAAGTGGAGATGTTCAACCCGCGCACCGCGCGCAAGGAACAAGAGACAGACAAAGACGGAGGGAGAAAGGGAGACAGAGACCCAAGAGAGAGAAAGTGAGAGAGAGACGGAGACAGAGAGAGAGAGAGAGAGAGAGAGAGAGAGAGAGAGAGAGAGAGAGAGAGAGAGAGAGAGGCTACACCACACAGAACAGAAAAGACAGATATGTTGAAGGTGAATCAGACAAGCCAGAGAGACAGACAGACAAGACAGGCAGACAGACAGATTGGACAAAGAAGACAAGCACAGACAGCGTACCCAACACAGATGTATATGGGGGACATGATTTGCACGCAAAATTTGAAGTTTGTGACCTGTAGCTGTACATGTTCATCTCCGGCTGTCGGAAGGTTTTGTTCCGCCCGCTGTTACTCCGCCCGCTTTTTGGAAGTGTTGTTTGTGAGCTTTTTGGTTTTCTGTTCGAACCCGGCGTGTTTGGCCATTCCTCATACATCCAGTTGATCAACACGCGTCGTTGGCTGGTAGGTACACCTTTGTCACCCACACGTCATGAAAACTCAACATGTCGCACTCTGGCAAAAAGTGCCCCAGTCCACCCCAGCTTCTTCGCAGCCCCCTTGGGCACGGGGCTAGCGCGGAAACAATGGGAGGTGTCCAGACAGCCGTGTCATGCGGCGACGGTGGTGGCCAGCAGCCCTTGGCTAGCGCGGAAACAGTGAGAGGTGTCCAGGCAGCCGTGTCATGCGTACGGTTGGGCCGCTGTCGCAGGCGACTAAACACACACACCTCCATAAGCCGAAAGTGAAAGACGACCCTGCACACCTACAGGTAGCACCAGCACCTACGATCCTCTCATGGTTTGGCCTAGAATGGCGTTCTCAGTTCGTCTTGCCGCAACATTGGTTCTCGTGTATGGGTATCCAATCGGGCTCACAAATGGATGCTCAAGCTTCTTTATGTTTGATGTGCTGCTGTTGAGCACGACGTTCTTGGGTGCGGGCGCAACGGTATCTTTACCGGCAGTAAGCCCATAGTACATATGGTATGAAGTTCGAACGAGCGATGGAAACGAACTCTGTTCTTTTGTCTCTCTTGAACGGCCCAGGTTCTGCCGCTGATGATGCAGTTGTATACAGAACACTCCACCATTGAAAATGGAAAGAGTCTTTTGCTTGTTACCCTAGGCTTGTTTGTTATTTTCTCTGTTGGATACCGCAAGAGGCAGAGAGATGACACCCCCTTTGACCGACTTTCAAATCTCGATTGCTCCACAACCAAGGGGTACGGAAAGAGCCCGATACGTGTACAGAAAGCCCTCGGCGAGATGTTTCCAAGACCACCATTTTTGATATTGGCACAACCTTGGTTGAGGAGCAAGAAGTCGAGCTTTACAAATCGGTCTACAATAGGGGGGGGGTGACATCTCTCCGTCTCTTACGGAATACCACGGTACGGCATACGGTACGGTACAGACAACCTTGGTTTTGGAGCCAATCGAGGTTTGAAAATCGGTCTACGGATGGCGCCATCTCTCCGTCTCTTACGGTAGTCGACTTGTGTTGGTTTTAGTGTGGGACTCTCCACTGAGCACCTGTTCATATGGCCATGTATTTGTTTCACTGTCGCAACAGCCATTGTCTTGAGCGATGGCGCGTGGTTGCTATATATAACTTTCGCTTTTGCAGTGGCGGCAACAATTGGTGCTGCGCACGTCTGCGCGAACCGCCTGTTCGTACAGCCCATTTTTTATGTTTGTTTTTTGGCTGCCCGGGTGAGGGTCGCATTATACCAAGGCAACCAAACACGGGGCATCCACCCTCCCTTTAGCCAGTCTGCACCTGGGGATGGCAGGACACTTGAGGAGGATGGCAGGGTCGTTGAGCGACACACCCACCTATTCACAGAAGGAACTGCGTATTTCTGCACAGCGGAAAGTATCAGAGAGTACTCCCCCCCCCCCCCCCCCCCCCCCCCC